AGAAAGAAAGAAAGAAAGAAAGAAAGAAAGAAAGAAAGAAAGAAGGGGGACTCACATGAAGGAAATGGGATAAGTAATGTTATATTGTGGGGATTGTAATCAATGATAAGAAACAAAATGTGTTTTAATTGCTAAATGGAAAACGTATCTGCTATGTAAACCTTCACCTAATTCACAATAAAACTTTTTTTAAATTACTGTTTAAAAAAAGAGTTAGAGTCTCTGAAATCCACTGAGCCCGTTCTACCCTGCCCTACAGCGTTGCTATGAGTAGGAATCAGCTGGATGTTGGTGAGTCTGGTTTTATGATTTTCTCCTTTAAGGAGACAGTTCTTCTCCATTCATACTTTGAATCCCTGTCCATCTGAGGGGCCCATTTTCTGTCACTAGAGCATACAGTGTTTCCCTGCTATTCATAAGGTTTCCATTGGCTAAAAATTTTAGAAGCAGATCACCAGGTCTTTTTTTCCTAATCTCTCTTCATCTGGACATTCTGCTGAAACCTCTCCACCACTGGGGCCCCCATGCATACTGAAATTCCAGTGACATAGTGCTCAGGATTGCAGCAACATGCAAACCACCACAGTACAATAATTTGGCAGATGAATGGTGGATACGATATAATTTTACTACTGTTGACTTTTAGACTATTTTCAACTCCTTTCATCTCTGATAAAAACGGAGATAAAAGCCATAGCAAAAGAAGGGAAAAAAGGCAATGACTGGGTATTTATAGATAGAAGAACATCGTATTGTCTCTTTCATCTGGCTTCTATTTTCATTGCAGATCAACAAGAATGCACCGTGGTCTAATGAAAAACAAAGAGTAAGAAATTGTCAGTCCGCCTCCAAGAGAATGTTCTGATTATGCTGCATCAGCCCTGAACCCCTTTGAAAAGAATGGGTGAATATTTGAAGAGACTTACTAGGATTACTCGGGAACCTTCAACTCCAATTCTTCTCATTCAACTGGGCCATAAATGTGTGACAAAACGATAGGAAAATGGATCAGAACATCCTGTGCAGAGGTGTGGTTCTCTAGCTAAGTAGGTCTCCCTTTGTGAATGAATAAATTACACACAGGTTCATAACGTAACCTCTCTTGGGTGTATGGTAGATATGAGTCAGTTGCCTGAAGCATGATTGCTGTGACATGAGTGGACACATTTGCATGCCTGGGATTACAGAATGCTATCAAGATTTTAATATGAGCTAGTGAACCTCAGCCTGGGAAGCTAGGCAACTGGCCTCAATCTTTCTAATAACATAACTTAGCCGCATCAGTGACATTCTGTGCTAATTCGGTTCCTTGGACCTTCTTTCTAGGATGCATCCCAGTGGAAGTGTAAATTGAAAAAGAAAAAAAAAGTTTCTGTCGCAACACTACAACTGATTCATGGTATGATTTGGGGGGCAATGTTAGAGTGTAATTGAATTTCAATAATGCCTCTGAATTCCTGGCTACTAAATTAGGGTACACTAAATGTATCCTAATTTTCTCAGAGTTAACAAAGCTGAGCTTCATTTAATTCTGGCTCTATAATAACGAACCTAGAACATTGTCTTATATTCTGGAGTCTAACAGACCTGACATGTACATACAAAATGAAATTCATGAAATGATGCTCTCCTAAAGGTAGCACTTTGATGAATAAAGGATGCCTGACTCAAGCCTGGGTCTTTTTACTAGCCTCATTGTCAAAATGGCATAGGGCTGGCACCTGGCCACATCTGACTTCACAGTGGGAAGGAGACTCAAACTCAACATTAGCCAAAGACCGATTCCTGTAAGGCAGGATCAGACATGCCTCCACGCTCTTTCCTCCTTTGGCAATTCTGACACCAAGTGTCCTTCCCATGGTACTCCACCCAAAGGACTCAGTTCTAGCTTTGTGGGTCAACAAACCTTGCTTCCACAAATGAGACTCCTATCTGAAGGCACTCGGCTTTACTGGCGCTCCACACTACTCTGGCTCATACTCTGGCTGCCCTGCTGCCAGTCCTCGGTTGCTTCTCCGGTGTCACAGCTTTCTTTCCCTGGATTTAAGAGGTTCCATGTACAGAGATCTTTTGTTTCAAAGTACCCCTCCATCCTAGTTTTCCTCTCTTGATCATCGTGAGATCCCTCCATGCTGGCTTCTGAAATGACTCATTTTACACCCAGCAGGATAATGTGGGCAATTGACCAATCCCTCCATTGGAGTTCCAAGTTTTTGCAATCATTCTCAGCCATATTACTAATCACTCATCACTACATGACACATCCTGTCAGCATCTTCCTCTATCTTTTCTTTCCCAGACCCATCATCAGGAAAAAAGGAAAAATACCCAGTCTGCATGGGCTCACCAGTGGTGTGGTGGGCATGGCAAAGACCACGGCTAAATGAGTCATATCAAGTAAGTTGCGGCATCGCACTCATATACTGGCAAAACACTGGGAAGTGAACGAAGAAGACCGAGGGGTTGATGCCGTCAAACTGAGCTGTCAAAGTATGTAATGAATATACTGCAGACTGCCATCCGAACACATAAAGCCATCTTAGAAGAAATACAACCAGCATGTTCCTTAAAAACAAAGATGGTGAGATTTCTGTTTACTCACGACGGGCACAACATCGGGAAAGACTGGCCACTAGTAAAGGACATCATCTTTAGTAAGATAGAATGTTAGTCCACTAACATGCTATTGAATGTTGAGGGTTTGGTTGACCATGGGTTCAGGCATATAGGAGATCGTTACGATGGAACAAGACCAGGCAACCCTGTGTTCTGTTATACTTAAGATTGTCATGAGTCATTGCCAACACCATGGTGACCAACAACAACAATAAATATATAACAAATGAAATTTTGCTTTGGAAAAGAAAGAGTAATGCAGAGCCAATGAAAAAGTAAAGGTTCAATAGTACAATGGGGCCACAAAATTCATGAACAAATCCTATTACCTTTTAATTCCATTTCCCACAAGCTTTTTGAAAGTCCTCATGCGTGCCAAGGTGTTGCCCGACCACACACATGGGAGGTGTGCATGCTTACATATACAAACAAGATGTATATAAACCTTGGATCATTAGCTACAGTCAGCTTGCTTCTGAGACTTTGAAATATAGTCTATATTGTAGATGTTTCTCATCGCTTAACCGTTTCTGAAAGGAAACCATGACACAGAGCGGGTCCCTCCTGTCCTTACTTTGGATGTTAGGTCACGGCAGTCTGAGGCTTTGCTGAGGCATAGTACCTAGAATCCTCCTCTGACCCTCTTGGCTGTGTGCCAGTTAGCACCATCTCTCAAGTCATAGTGACTAGGAATTACTCTCATGAAATCCCCAAGGCCTCCTGTTCAAGCATTTCACTCATTTCTTATGTGTGAACACCTTCATTCTCAGGTGAATGAGAAGTTTAGGGCTTGGTCTAAACCTCGAGCTAATGTGGGTAAGGCTAATGTCTCAGCAAGGTTGAGGTTGCCCTTCACCTCTGCATTGCCAGTAGAAGGGAACTGGCAGTTGAGTTCCAGGAGAGACAGAAAGGGAAATTAGAGCATCAAGTCCATGAGAATCAGGAAATAACGGAGTGCCAAGGGATAGGAGCCAGAGAGAAGGGTTGGTTTAGCTGGTTGAAGCCAGAAAGCCCTGTGGAGGAAGCAGTCACCTGTGTGGGAGTACTTCTGTGACTGCGAACTTCTGCTGCAGAGTGATGGGAGGTAGGGAAGGGGCAGAGGGCCGTTAGAGCAGTCCAGGCCTTTGTGTGTCGAATATAGCATGAGTTCTTCCCAGTCCTGGTGAAACTTCATATTCCAACCCACTCTGGCTTCCCCATTTCGCAATTAGACAAGCTGCAAAGAGGAACTGGTGGTTTTAGGAGAAGTTGTGAATTTTCTGTTTCAGCAGCTGCTTTCTTTCCCGTTGTTCAGTTTGCACCAAGCTCTCTGGCTGCCGCTTAGGGCTGGTGTGTGGTCTGGGCTGTCTGAGCCATGAACAGCTTCAGGGCTGCCTTCTTCTTCTGGGTGGCGGCCATTTGGGCTAAAGGAGACACACCTGAGGGAGAGGCAGATAAGGCTGGATTTCAAAAATGTAAGAAGGCCTTGAATTTGCCAGTTCTGGAAGTCTTACCCGGAGGAGGCTGGGATAATCTGCGGAACGTGGACATGGGACGGGTGATGGGCTTGACATACTTCAACTGCAGGACCACAGAGGATGGGCAGTACATCATTCCTGATGAAATCTTCACCGTTCCCCAGAAACAGAGCCACCTGGAGATGAACTCAGAAATCCTGGACTCCTGGATGAATTACCAGAGCAGCACCTCCTTCTCCATCAACACAGAGCTCAGCCTTTTCTCCAAAGTCAATGGCAAGTTCTCCTCTGAGTTCCAGAGAATGAAAACCCTTCAGGTGAAGGATCAAGCTATCACTACCCGGGTTCAGGTCCGAAACCTGGTCTACACAGCCAAAATCAACCCCACTTTAGAACTCAGCACGGGATTTCGGAAGGAGCTCATGGACATCTCTGACCGTCTCGAGAGCAACCAGACTCGGATGGCCACCTACTTGGCAGAGCTCCTGGTCCTCAACTACGGCACCCATGTCATCACCAGTGTGGATGCTGGTGCCGCTCTCATCCAAGAGGACCACATCAGATCCTCCTTCCTACAGGACACCCAGAGCAGCCACAGTGTTTTGACTTCATCTGCTGGAATTGCCTTCCAAAATATCATCAACTTCAAATTTGAGGAGAAGTACACCTCGCAGAGCGCCCTCACCAAAAGCTACCTCTCGAACAGAACCAACTCCAGGGTGCAAAGTGTTGGGGGTATTCCTTTCTTCCCAGGCATCACCCTCGAGGCCTGGCAGCAGGGCATTGCCAACCACCTGGTGGCTTTAGACCGTGCTGGCCTGCCTCTGCATTTCTTCATCAACCCCACCATGCTGCCTGGATTGCCAGGCCCCTTGGTGAAGAAGTTGTCCAAGACAGTGGAAATGGCCATGAGGCGCTATTACGCTTTTAATACCTACCCCGGATGCACTGATGTCAATTCACCCAACTTCAATTTCCAGGCCAACACGGACGATGGCTCTTGTGAAGGGAAGATGACCAACTTCACCTTTGGTGGGGTTTATCAGGAATGTACCCAGCTGTCTGGGACCGAGATGGTCCTCCTCTGCCAAAACCTGGAGCAGAAGAATCCACTCACTGGAGACTTCTCCTGTCCCTCGGGCTACACACCCATCCACCTTCTGTCCCAGATCCACGAGGAGGGGTACAATCAGCTGGAGTGCCAGAGAAAGTGCACCCTCTTCGTCTTCTGCAAGCGCGTGTGCGAAGATGTATTTCGGGTGGCAAAGGCTGAATTTAAGGCTTTTTGGTGTGCAGCAGAAGGTCAAGTTCCCCCATACTCAGGACTGCTTTTCGGGGGCCTCTTCAGCACTAAGAGCATTAACCCTTTGACAAATTCACAGTCCTGCCCGGCTGGCTATTTCCCACTGAAGCTCTTTGAAGGCCTCAAGGTATGTGCTTCTCAGGACTATGAGTTGGGGTTCAGGTTTTCTGTGCCCTTTGGTGGGTTTTTCAGCTGCGTGGTTGGAAACCCCCTGGTGGATCCTGCTACCACCAAAGATTTAGGGGCACCTTCGCTGAAAAAGTGTCCTGGGGGCTTCAGCCAACACCTCGCCCTCATCAGTGATGGATGCCAAGTGTCCTACTGTGTTAAGGCTGGGCTCTTCACGGGAGGGTCCCTGCCTCCAGCCAGGCTCCCCCCCTATACCCGGCCACCCATCATGAGTCAGGCTGCCACCAATACTGTCATGGTGACCAACACGGAGACAAAGAGCTCCTGGATTAAAGACTACGAGACCCACCAGTGGAGACTGGGAGAGCCGCTGGAGCTTCGCAGGGCCCTGAAGGTCATCCACGGGGACGAGGCTGGCCTGTCAGGTGGAGCAGCAGCTGGAGTCACCGTGGGGGTCACCACCATCCTGGCAGCTGCTATTGCCCTGGCCATCTATGGCACCCGGAAGTATAAGAAGAGGGAGTACGAGGCCCTTGGGGATGAGAAGCAGAGCTTGGCTCAAGGCAAGGTTGAGACGGGGGATGATCCTCACCAGGAACCGGAGCAGAATCCAGTCTAGACCACTCTCATCTCGCCCTGGGGCTGCCAGCATGTCTCTCATCCTTCCCCTCTCCACTTCTGCTTTCCCAGTGATCCAAGTGGCAGGAGCTCCGGCAGGCAGGTAGAACTTTGTGACTTCTGCTTTAGACCATCCGGGCCAGGTTATTCATGGAGCTGTCTGGACATGAGTGAGGGAGCAGATGGGACTGTCTGAGTAGTACACGTGACGGGGTGTCTTTTCAGTGTGTGCGCTGCCAATTTTGGCCACCCGAATGGACTTGTGTAAAACGAGAGGGAGAATGTTGGCGATTTAGTTAGGAGGCTGCTCATGTTGTCTAAGGTCTGCAGTGCTTTTTTGATTCATGAGCTGTAAGAATTTCTGCCTTCCAGTTTTACCCTCCCCCTGGTCTGTTTTGGGATTTCATGTTCCTGGAGGTTGACAGAGGTCCCCAAAGACACAGAAAGAAACTCCTATCTGAACCCAATTTTTTTTTTTAGCTTTGAGGGTTTCATGTTGCCAGAACATGTCATCCCCTCTGGGCCATAGGCTTCCCATACGGAAACAGGATGTCTCCATAGGGGAGGCCGCTGGGACTTGGGTCAGACTGCTGCAACTCCTATCCAGAGTCAAGTCTTCAGAAGGTGCTTGACCTGATGAACTTCTATTGGTGAGCCCAGGGGGAATGGATGTTAGGAGATAAGGAGTAAATGAGTCACGGGTCATAACTGAACGGATTCTGATGTTTAGAAGAAATTGAAACTCTTACCCACCATCAAGTCTCTGATTTCTTCTCCTTAAATCATCATAATCAGGGCACCGTAGAGGGGCTGTCGATTTGGATATATGGAGAATTATAGTTTCATGTTCTTTGCTACTGATGATAACCTTCCTCCTCCTTGAATGATCCTTTTCCATCCTGCCCTCCCACCACACCAACATGCACACACATATACCTCACACGCACTCACACATAACCTTGCATGCGTACAGGTACACTAACACACACCTTACATGCCCTCCCACACCAACATGTACATACACACACTCACCACATGCACTCATACATTATCCTAAATGCACACAGCACACACACTCACACACACACTCACCACATACACTCATACATTATCCTAAATGCACACAGCACACACACTCACACACACACTCACCACATGCACTCATACATTATCCTAAATGCATACAGCACACACATTCACACACACACACCATATACACTCATACATTATCCTAAATGCATATAGCACACACACTCACACATACACACACACCCCCCATATTCCACCAAGCCTGAATTTTTCTAGGGAGGTGAAGGACAAAGGGCAGAACTCAGAATAAGTCCCCTTTTAGCACTGGTTCTTCTGTAAATCAACAGAGCAGAAAGCACCCCTATACTTCCTGTGTTGGTTCCCAACATAAAGGGGGCCCCTGGCATGATCAAACCCACTCGTTTAGATGACACGAGAAAGGCATCCGGCACCACTTGTACTTTTTCTCATTCCAGGATGGGGCATCTAGCAGGAGGCATGCCTGACAGCCAGCAAGGTTGTGGGCTTGACCCTGTTCCACACCCATCTCACTTCAATGTCACCGCCCACGTGAATCTAGTCATGTGCTTCCCCACATCCAAAGATCTAAAGGAGGTGTTTATGCTCCAAATCAAATGTCAGTCCTCAATTGTCTTTTGCCTAAATAAAAAAAAAAAATGCTCTCTCCTCATTCATGGTCACAATCAAGTGTCTGGGTTTACAATAGCCTCTTCTCCAGAGAGCTTGAAGCATGCCAGCCTGTGAAAAAAATGACTTCGAGGATGTCTGCGCACCCGGAAGGAGAAGTGGTTTGGAGCTCTGCTCTGCTGACTGCCCAGCCAGGAACACTGTGCTTAAACCACCTTTTGACTTAACCCTGCTACTTCTAGAGCTTTTGAGAAATGCATTAAAACTGATCTCCTAAACCGCTGGGTGTCTTGTGGGTACGTTTCAGCCAAGCTAACCATTTTCCCAAGAGTGCTTTGAAGATCAGCGAGTCCGACAAATTACAGGCAAAGGCTTCCAGACGTTGACAGCCCCTTGAAAGGAAATGTTCTCCAGAAACATACATTTGTACTAAAAAAAAAAAGTATGTAAATATGAATTAAAATGGGTGCTTCAGAAACATTCTGTTCAACCACTCATGCCTGTGAATTCAGAAGTGGGACTGCAGGCTCCAGTCATGAACGAATCCCAGCGTGGAAGAGCCTGGTCTCTGCTTCCAGCCCGGGAGCTGACGGCAGCTTCTTGCTCTCCTAACCAGTGGTCTCAGGTAAGGGCCGTCTGTGGACTTTCAGGAAAGCCACACTCCGCAAACAGAAATGGGAACGATGTGGAGGACAGGGTGGGTTTGCAGTCACACGATGTGCTATTGAAAGTGGCCGGGAGGTGCAAAAGATGGTCTTGGTGAAAAATATGGAATACCCCCTGAACTGTCAGAATCTGAGTTCTGCGGTCATGGCTGGGTAGGCAGCGGCTGGGTAGGCAGCGTGGAATGGCTCAAAGTCAGCAGTTCAACCCCACCAGCTGCTCGGAGGGGACTGTCTGCTCCTGGGAAGATTTAGCAAACCTTGACAACTGCAGGCAGGGTGGGTCAGAACGGGCTTGCTGGCAGTGATTTTGGTTTTTGTTTTGCCACAAGATGATAAGGGCAGGTGTAGTTGGGGCGCTGGTGGTCTCTTTAGCATTGAGATGATGCACACTAAACTTTTATTTGAAAACAGCCACCACCTGTTAACCAGGGAAGCACACATACACTACATTATAGTTGGGTGAGGAGATCCTTAAGATGTGCATGTCACCATTTCAGTCTACCTCCCCCACCCCACTTCCCACCCCCAATCCCGATAAGTATTGTCCCCCACCCCTGCACCCTGTGGTTTGTTTCCTAGAGGAACAAGGAGTCAAGCCAGGTGCCCCAGTCAAATGTGTGGCGAAGAAAGATGTTTTAAAAAAAGGAGAGGGGACTCTCCCTCTAATCAGCACAAGAGCTTGCGGTCGCTGACGGACCACGGAGCTCAGCCCCAGGCCTCAGAGGCAGGTGCTCGGCCAAGTTCCAAAAAGCAGAAGAAGGTTTAACTAATCACCAGCACAGATCTGTGGTCGTTCACTTGCCCATTTATTGTTCTGCACATACACCTCATGAGCACCAGGTGGCGATGTCCCCTCACAGAGCAACACCAAGGACTTCAAAATTCACCAGTTAACAGACAGAACAAGGGTACATCAGGACATTCACCTGCCCTCTCCCAAACCCCCACCCCAACTCAAATGCTAACGACCACAGACCACCGGGAAAGGGGGCCACAGGGCGGCGGCCCTTGCTTGTACCACACACCGGGGCCCTTCTGCAACCAGAGGTCTGCTGTCCCAACCCTTTCATGCGCAAGTCAGTGCCATGCCACTACGGACGAGCACTCTGGACCAAGTTTAAAAAACGAAACAAAACAAAACCCACAGAGAAGTCCAAATTGTACAAAACGGGGAGGAGGATGAAAACACAAAGGCACAGGCAACCACACGGACACAATTCCCCTTCCAAGGGATGAGCTTTCTGAGAAGGTTTGTCTCCAAGCCCACGGGTCATCCAGCTCACGAGAGTTTGGAAGGGAGAAAGGAGGCTGCTGGTGCTAAGACGATGGACGGAAAGGCGTGGAATTCCCTGCCTGGGCCAAGGGAACACTGCACGGGAAAGTGTCCCGGGGTCAAGGTAGAGGGCGCATCGCAGGTCCCCACGGAACCAGAGACTGTACCGTTCAGGGTGGGTGCAAGAGAGGGCGCAGGAGTACTGCCCCCCATGTGGGCTGGCACAGTGCTATAAGGAAATTCCGACTTCCCTTCTGGCCAGAAGGTTCCGCAAGCCCAGTGTGGGGAGGAGGTAGCCTCTACTGACCATTGGAGGAGGAGGGGGGTGGAGGAGGAGGGAGGGAAGAGGTGGAGGAGAAGCGAGGCATAGTCTCAATCTAAGGGAAAGGCTTGTAAGTATGAAGACTAATTCTCCTATACAGACTCCCTGACACATCCCCGGTCCATCCTTCTCTTCTGGACCATTTCCTCCTCCATCTCTACCTTCCGACCCGGGAAATCACGTGGCCCCTTGGCACCCCTCCCCCATTCTGCAAGCAGGCCTTCCTTTCATTCGCTCTCTCTCGCTGCCTCCGTTGTAGTTGTTTTGGTTGTTTGATTTTTTTGACCCACGGACACTCCAGGCTGCTCCCTTGACTCTCGGAACCTAAGCCCAGCAGATACTCGGCACGTGCTTAAAAGGCAGAGGCCGTCCGAGGCCTACAAGGAGTCGCAAAGGAATCGCTTGGCTCCCCGGGTACACGGTAAAGAGCACGGAGTGTGCCCAGAAACACCACCGGGGTGTCTCGCTCCCTTCATCCAGGTGTCTTCTGCCGGCCCTGCTCGGGCGGGAAACTGCCCCGTGGTGCAGGGAGCTGGGGCCAGCCTCCTGCTCTGCTGGTGAGAGATCTAACTGACCACAGAGTGGCAGGAAAATCCAACTCAGATGGCAGACAGCGCCTCGGGGTCACCAGGGTCACGTCCCCGTGGCCATTCGTGGAGGGAAAATGGTTCCGGCACCAGCTCGAGCAAGGCACTGGGGGACACCAGGGGCATCCACAGGGCCCACCAGGGTCAAAGTGGCTGCAGGCTAAGAGCAAGCAGCTACGAGGCTGGCTTTCCAGAATGCTAGGCCTCCAGGTCTAACTTCAGTACCACGCTTGTAGGCTCTTATGTTTTGATTTCTCTAGCATCAGAAACCTCCCCAATATTATGAAATATATATATGCATATATATATATATACGTCAAACCCCCAAAACATGAGGTATCTAAATTCAAATCGGTATCCAGAGGAATAGTCCCCCAAACACATAGTTCAGTAAACCCACTTTCAAAGGGGAAACTGGATTTTCCTTCTTAATCCCATTCCTCTCCTCCCTGCCCCGCAATTCATTTCTTTCTAGGAGCCAAAAAGGCAGGAGGAATCGCTGGCAGGGGACAGAGGAGATCGTGGGGCACAACCCAGATGCAGGCTGGTCCAGACCATCGTGGGGCCCCAATCATGACAGGAAGGAGCTCAAGAGGCTCTCTCCACACACGAGGCTAATATGTGAGAGATGAGGGGGCCAGTATCACCTCTGGGCTCTGATTTGCCATTTAGCAGGGAGACAGACAGAAGCCTTCACAGAGGCAAGACAGATGGAGACTGGCTCTGACCCAGTCTTGAGACAGAAAAGGGGATCAGCAGAGTGGGCATCTCATCACATCTCCCCAAGCACAGTGCTGTCTCCAGCAGGATGTGTATGAGCTCTGGGATGGACTGGCCACGGGAGAAGAAAGCCAAGAGACCACAGCCTGGCTGTTTGATCCCCACCCGAACCCGGAGTCTGTGCACACACATATGCACACACATACATAGATGCACACACTGGTGGCACAGAGCCTACTGTCAGCTCTATTCACAGTGACTTGATGAAACTAATGGAATCTTTGACCTGGTCTGAGGTGAGCTGGAAGAAGGCTCTGGGCTCCTCCCCACCAAGGACAGGTCAGATGCTCAGTAGGATGCAGGCTCTGGTCTGATCAGAGGGGGCTGGAATCAGCATCGTTGGATGCCAGCCCCGAGCGGAACCCCAGAGTCCATCCATCCATATGACAAGGCCAGACTCCTCTTTGGGCAGGTGGGAGGTGTGAGGAGGAGGGGAGGGACCTGAGGCACCCAGGGCTAGCCTGAGAGCAGGGCCTCCCTGACCCTCTCGGCAAGAAATGCTCCCTCCCCCTACTCTCAGGCACCTGGTTTCTGGCATCAGTCACAGCAGTTTGGCCGTTCATCCCTTTGCCCCCCAACCTTGCACAGTCAGCGCTCCCTGCCTCCAGAAGAGGAGAGAATATAGCACAGACCCCACTCTCAAAGCAGAGGGGAAGCAGTGCTGAGGCCAGCGACCTCAGCTTCACAAGGCCAGGGTGTGGAGTGCCCGTGCACCATCCATACTCTAAGCGTGCTGACCAAGCCCCCTACTCAGGGGTGGAGGTGGAGGGGTTCTTGCCTACCCAGCACCGGAAACCCCATGGTAACAGACTGAGGAGGGCCCTCATCCCATGTTCCCCCTTGGGGTTGGATGAGGTGTATGAATGATGTTGCCTTATTCCTGCTGGGTTCCCCCTGTGGCTGGAAGGGAGGCGCGGGAGGGACGGAGACAGGACAGGAGGGGAGGGGAGGGCGTCTGGAGGGCACGGCACCAACTTCTACCTCGACTCTCCCCACTTTCTGCCCTGTGGCCCCCATGGGTCCATTCCATCCCGAAGCCCCTCCCCCCTCAGTCCTTCTCCTGGGCAGCACTGTCTTCAGAGATGCCCTGGGCGGCCAGTTCGGATAACACGTTATCCAGGTAATTGGCATCTGGGTAGCCATGGCCAGTGAGATTAGAGCCGAACTCTGTCTTGTGGTGGACTTCGTTCCAGATGACCGTGTCTGATTCCCCCGTGGTGCTGGAGGTGCCGATGGCAAAGATGAGGCGCCGGTCCCAGGCCACCAGCAGCAGCTTCAGAACCTACAACAGCCAAGGCAGGAGACCAATGAGGGGCTTGCGGGGTTTGCCAGCTGACCCGGGCTCCAGTACTAACTCGCCTTCCCAAGACCCACTCCTTCTGGCATCTTGATCTCTACGCAGCACAGTGGAATGGAGAGATATGCTTACAGGCCTATAGGTGGAGCCTGGAGCCTGTTGTCAGCTAAGCATGTCACCTTGGACAGGTGATTTCCTCCTTCATAAACTGGCAATAGGACAGCCCCGCCCCTAAAGGCCGTGGGCTATTTTAAGGAGCAGCACTTTTGAAGCCACGGCAGGCACACCCAAATCCCAAACCAAACTCACTGCCACGAGTCCATTCCGATTCCCTGTACCCCACGGTGCCATGAATGTGAGGTTCTGCCCTGTGGCGCCCCTGCGTGTTGGAGGAGCACTGTGCTGGGGGGGAGGGGGGTACTCACTGGCTGGGTCCCCACTTTATGGAAGAGGATCTCCAGGCCCAAGCAGCACCACTGTGTTTAGGTTCCCAATCAGATTTTCAGGGGAAAACAATGACTCCGTGCCCTCCTGGACACTACAAACCTTGATACTCTACCCTGTAATCCAGGCCAATATATAGGTATCTGCTTTTATGTCAGAAGCCCTCTGGTGGCACAGTGGCTAAGCACAGGGCTGCTAACCACAAGGTCAGCAGTTTGAAGCCACCGGCCACTCCTCGGGAGGAAGACATGGCTCTCCACTCATTGACTCGCTGGTTTGTTTTTGTCTTTCTAAATCTGCTTTTGAAGCCCCTCTGGGTCATGCTGGGCTAGGTGTTCTGGCAGAAGAGGGGTTACACATTGGGCAGCTAATCACAAGGTCTGCAGTTCAACACCACCCAGAGCTCCCAGGGAGAAAGACAGGACTTTCTACTCCTATAAACAGTCACAGCTTCGGAAACCTACAGGGGCGGTTCAACCTGTGGCTATGAATTGGCACGATTCGATGACAGTGAGTTTGGCTTAGTTTGCCTTCTGGATCATTCTAGTGCACCCCCACAAACACAAAAAGTGGGGGGGCAGTATCTCCCACTTCGGGAAACAGTGCTCCAATTCTGGTGTACTGATTATAATGGTCAGCAGTTGGAAACTACCAGCAGCGCTGAGGGAGAAAAGACTGGCCTTTCTACTCCAGTAAACAGTGACAGTCTCGGAAAACCCACTGGGGGTTGCTGTGCATCCTCATTGACCTGATGGCAGAGAGAGAGAGAGAGAGAGAGAGAGAGCTCTGAAAGAGAGGAGTCATTGCTGGCCGTACTGTGGCGAAGCAAAAACCCATATGCTCCATTTTGCTCACTGTGGGCTGCTGTGTGGATTCTGACCGACACACGGTGGAAAAGAGCGCCCCTGTGGGGGTACGTAGGCTGTCACCTTGAAGGGAAAGAGCCTGGTGGCGCAGTGCTTGAAGCACCCGGCTGTTAACCGAAAGCTCAATGGTCTGAACCCATCAACTGCTCGGCAGGAGAACGAGACAACACGTGCTCCTGTACAGCTTCACCGCCCTGGAAAGGCTATGGGGGCGGTTCTGCCCTGTCCTACAGGGTCGTAAAAGTTGGGACACACTTGAGGGTCATGGGTTCATCGTCAAGGGCACAGATCCCCTGCGGTGGGTTTAAACTGCCAGCCTGGGGTTGAGCGCTGAGTGCTTCACCGCTGTGCTACTCACCACGCCGAGCTCACTGCCACCGCATCAGTGCTGACTCTCAGTGACCCACAGGGCAGGGCGGAACTGCCACTGTGGGTTTCCAAAACCGAAACTCTTTACGGGAGAAGAAAGCCTTGTCTTGCTACCACTCAGAACCACAGGTGGTTTCAAACTGCTAACCTTACAGGTGGCCCAATGCGCCACAACCCCTGTGCTACCAGGGCTCCTCCCTGGACCACTAAGACTCTAAAACTCTCCTTCCACCCTCCACCCAAGAAGCTCCCAGTCCAATGCAGTGGAGTCAACACACAGCCAGATACCGTGTGCACCTGGAGCTCCAGGTGGCCCTACTCTCTGGGA